TATATATATATATATCTCTTGAAGGGGGAAAATTTATGAATCCACGCGGTTAGCTATTATTGTATAGAAGTGCACTCATCTCGGCGCGTAAATCGTCGGGCGCCCTCGAAAAACCATTAGGCCGGCTGCCAATGAAAAGTCACACGTCTCTCCTCTACTTCGACCGAGTGCGCGCATATTATTACCTAATATTTGGGTACGTGTATACCAATGGGAGTGGGAAGGAAAAAAAAAAATGTCGATGCACTTACAGAATCTGCGTGCCGGGGTAGCTTCGAAAAGCACGGGCTGGAATGTCCGTGAGGTTGTTGCTCGTCAGGTCTCTGGAACGGAGAAAACAAGAGTATGAAAAAAAGCTCTCTCTGCTCCATATACAGCGTACACCAAAATGAGTCGATTTAAATTCTAAAAATGGGGTGGGTACGCTTATTTGTCGTAAAATCGGAGAAAATACGCTCTACTGTTACTCCCCGTTGAGCGCACCTCCTCGTACCGAAAGGAAATTTCCATCCGTGCAATTTCGACGTAGGAGGGCTGTAAACGAAAACAAAGCTCGTGACATTTTTGTAATTTATAGGAGCCGGACGTAAAGCCCTGTAATATAAAAAAATAATAACAGTTTGGTAAGTATGTCGCTTCATATCTGCAACACATTTTTTTTTTCATTTTTTTTTTTTCTTAGTAATTCACCATAAAGAAAGATTTTTATTTTTCCCTTATATACTCGATCATCGCGGAATCATCGAAAATGCACCACCAACTTGATACACATCACGCACGCGTTGTTTCGATCAAAGTTAATGTTGCAGTCGATGTGCGGTTTGATCACGACCTCTACAAGCAAGCACTTACGTACATGACACGTGTATATGAGAAAGACAATCCACCTTGACACGGACAACAACGGCAGAGCAATCGATCGCTCCTTTTCTCTTTTTTTTTTTTCACTTGTCTATCGGTCGCTTTAAAGGTCAGCCAGCCATTACCGAGTCCGGGCACGTAAGGCGGCGTATACCTACAAAACGTCCCGACTTTGATTGTACCCACACGGTAACCTCAGCTCGGTAACAAATGGAAAACGCGAGAAGGAAGAAAAAAAAAAAAAAAAAACAATGTCACGCGAATCCCAATCATCGATGGAGCGAGAAAAACAGCTGGGTAAACGCTTCTGGCTTCCCCTCGATTTCCCAGCTGGGCGAAATATGGATCCCTTGTACATTACGTGGAAGGAGCGACGCGGAGAAAAAGGGGATGGGACAGGAAAAAATGAACCAACGCTCCCTTGGTCAATCGGCCGTCGAGTGTACTTTTTTTTTTTTTTTTTTCTCTTGCTCGATGTGGTATATGTATACATCGTGTTGTGCTTTATCGTAAAAAGCTCAACGCGAAGAGATCGGTCGAGCTGCCGCGGGGCAGGGAACGGGTAAGTGGAAGGGAGGCCCCGTGTTTTAACAAACGCGCTCGGAATTTATGTGGGTATATATTATATGCGCGTGTTTAGCGTATATATCTACACGCTAGCCAACTGTACTCGAACGCGCGTGATTTTGCTTCCTTGGGAAATCACGAGATACATCGGTTTTAAAAGCGAGAGTGCCTTTTTGTGCAATCGTGTACGTGATTTTAAATCAGTTGCTTTGTTTTGTCAGCCTACTTTTTCGAAACACCTGGTTCTATTATGTAGCCGTTTGCGGCAATGCTGGTGGTTTTCGCAATCTCCAAAATATTCATAAAATCGGCAGAGGTCGCGCGTAAAGTCCGACGATACGCGCGCGTGAGCGACAAAAGATTCGCATCTATTGGTTTTTATAGCCATAAGTGCCTACATCCCTGAAAAAACGAACTGAATTGATACATCAATAACGGCTGTTCGACGAAACACGTACCGATTTCGACAACCTGTCATCTGTTTGACGCGGCAGCTGCCAACTACCGAATTTCGTTCCTATACTTAATAATCCTTGAAAAAAAAAAAAAAAAAAAAAAAAAAGGTGTGACCAACAGTCGCGTTTAAAACGAAGTAAAATATTCCGACACTGCGTCTCTCAAAATACTTGTTTAACCGAACGAAATTGTCAGGGTGCGACGTGAACCCCGACGCGGGCATTTGTTATTTTCTCCCCTTATCATCTGGGCGCCCTTTCCGCGTCCCAAGTGTTAAAAGTTGGGACAAATGAAACCCTCGGCAACGCTTAATAACGAACTTTCGCGGTTTTCCGGGTAAAACTAAAGTCGTTCCCTTATCGCGCCTGTAATTAAAAAGCGATACCCATCGCGGGAGAGCGAAAAAAGTTTGCACTTTCTTTCTTTCTCTTGGGATCGTCACTGTTGTCCGCGGACTATACGACGATGCAACAACTGATTACTCAATGGCTGTTTTTTTCGAAAAGCCACTTTCATCACTTTCGACAGCCAGCCAGACGCGCTGCACCAACACAATGGCTCTATACTTACGCGTCAAAGTAGACCAAAAAAAAAAAAAAAAAAATGTCCGATCCACTTTGCGAGATTGACCAATATGTGTGTACACAGTTACACAAGACATATCACGCGCACGTGACGAATCCTTGATAAAACTACCTACTGCACCAATTACACGAATGGGACCTGCAGTTAATCCATCGATCGATTTGAGCGATAACTCGAATGATATTGCAAATCGAAGTACATATTATAAACCTACATAATAATATACCTACCTCGGGTCGCGTACGCGTCGTCCTGTGCTTTCACTTTGCCAACAACCGTATACAATGAGAAAAAAAAAAAAAAAAAAAAAAAAAAAAAAACTCGTCGTGGTACGATAAACGAAACACAAATATATACAGTACGAAGGGAACAAAGGAAGGAGCCCGAGGCGACGTATATATTTTTGCGCCCCAGGCGTGATATCATCAGGGCAAGTCACTCTGGTTGTATACGTATATGTATCTAAAATCGATCGTACACGTAATATTATTGATTTTATTACGCAAAGCGTGTACGCATATACATATTATATGCGTGTAGTATTGTACGCACAAGCGCCAAAGTCTCGAGTGGATCTGGACAGAGTTGGGTAATCTTACCATTACAATATACATATATGTGAGCTACTCCTCTTTCCAGGGGATTCTATATAGAGTTTATAGCGCGCGAATCCAAGTAGCTATACGTAACTTGCGTATGAGGTAGGTATGTATATATATATATTTTTTTTTTATTGCAACGCGCGCGCGGGACACTTGGAGAATTCGACAATTGGCATTTGCACCGAGGAATGGCGAAAGGAGTTGTCTTGCGAAAGACGAATTTTCGGATTCCCCGACCCCCTTTCTTTTCTTTTGTTGGTCGCCGGTGACGGAGGAGATTAAAATTTAGCTCAATAGAGCGCACGTGCAGGCATATACGATTGATTGACGAGTGAGAACGACCAACAAAACAAACACTCGGACCTTATATTTTAACAGCATAATCGTGACTGCACTCGTGTACGTATTATGTGTATCACAGTAATTGCTTTAGTACTTTTAAACCGGTGACACCTCAATGACGGTACACTTTTGATCGATTGCACGCACATAGTACATGTATACACTATATGTATGTATACACAAACGCGGCCCTCAAAAGTGAATCAAATGAATCAATGATCGGCATTTGTGGACGCGCGCGTACCTGCATAACAAACGGGGCTCTCTCCTCGAACCGGTCAACTCGGGGTTTGAGCTATAAGCCAAGATGGAGAGAGTGTGCTCGCATCGTGGATGATATTATATATATGTACTTACAGTATGGACTGGTTAAACAATCAGGATTTTGGATTGGTGTGGCTCTTCTACTCGCACGTCACAGATTCGTATGCGCCACCAGGGGACACTCGATTTCATATACGCGGACTCTAGTTGGATTTCAATAATCTGCACTCGCGCGAGTGTTTTTTTAAACGAAAAGGTATTTTCCTCGCTTTTTGATGATGACAAAAATCGATACGACTACATGCTCACCGCATTACGGTATTATTACTACTCTGCTCAAATATTCAAAACGATAATGGCACTGCAAAACTTTTTTCCCATGGATACATATAATAGATGTATAAAAAAAAACAAAAAAAAAAAAAAAAAACACATTTACCGATCTCCTTGCCGATTTTCCAAAAACGATCGATCCTTTTGCAGCGACCACGTTGTACACGTGTATTGTGTATAAAAAGGACACGGAAGCACAGCTATTGTGATTCACGTTGGCCTAGAATCGCGCCCGATCTTCATCTCGTGTGGGTGTGTATGCATATGTATGTATTATTCGCAAACACCGTAGACGCACAGGCTCCGGAACTAAACACGTGCCATTAAGCTCCGCAGGGGTCGAGAGCGACGACGTTGGACCGCTTGTTTATACGTCGCAGGCAACCGGAAGGAAGGGATCGACGACGCGTTGTACATAAACATACACAAGGTTTTGTGCCCGTGTTAAATATTGCGCGTAAGTATATACACGGTCACCGCTCGCTGCGCTTCATCATTAATTCCCTCTCCTCCCCTCGATCGAGCCATCCCGTAGATTGCCGTGTACAAGTGTCGTGTTGGCACCTTTATCTCTCCCCCCTATATGTTGTATAGCTCCACAACACCCATATGCACAGCGTGTCACGAGATCTATAACGATACGCTGAGCGGTTCGATGCTAAAACTGCGAGACTTTGAACATATTATTTGCTTGAATAAAGAAAAATAAAAATTCCAGCAGCAAAGTCGAGAACTCTTTTTTCTCGATTGTTCCAACCAATAAAGTTGCACTCCGAGGGGATGAAACTTAAACCTCCCGCAGCTTCGCTGTAATCGCGCGAAGTAAGTCGTATATGATATTACATCCAAATAAGAGCCGGGGACAAAGGGGCTTGGCCCCACTTTGAATACAAACGGGACGAATTAGCGTTAATTTAATTTGATTTGCATGAAAATCTTTGCCAGCTACGCTATTTCCTTGTCTCCCACTCTCGAAGCGGGGGGTGTACTGCAGCTGAGAAATGGATGATTTTTCTCGCGAACTTTGCCCGCTCGTGGCAAAATTAGACGCTTGTAATCCAAGTTTAATTATCATAAAGCCCACGGGGTTGGGCGGTTATAACCCCGTGCGTCGAGTAAACGATATTTCAAGCGAACCTAGCTGTTCTACCTTACACACACACACACACGTGCGCCCCTGCAGGATTAGCGTGTCTTAATCTCGCAAAGTGCCCCCTCGTGTGCATTTTACATACAATATGTACCTGTGCGCGCGTGGGCGAGTTTTGTTATGAAAATCCTTGTCCCCTTTCGCGTATTCCGATAACTTTTAT